AAAAAGCCATCAGAGCTCTTCCTAAAAAATCTCATCTGTTCAGCATCAATTTATATTCCTGTTATATATGACAAACATCCTGCTTAAATAACAAGGCTGTTAGGAAAACTGACTGACAAATCCACATCACAGTTATGACAACGTTATTTGCTTAGCAAGGATATGTGACTATTTCACAGCAATGGAAGTTTCATTAGGAAACAATTTCACTGCACTGCCAGCCAGCAAGGTGTGTAACAAACACTGTGGGGAAGAGACCTTGATCTGAACACCAAGTTCACTTGGAATCCCATCAAAAAGAAAGTAGCATGTTCTCTGAGCCGTTAGTCTTCTAGTTTCTTGTTTCTCTTCTTCTAAAGCCAGAGTAAGCTTAATAGGATGCTTTCTCATGCTGGATGGTTCTGCCTTTTGAGTAATGTTGTTACCTGTGTAATCATGTCCTAAATTGTGTTTATTAAGTAATGTTTAAAAAAACTCCAAACAAATGCTGAGTTCACTTTTTATTTTAAGTGAAATCATTCCACATATCTATTCAGGAAAAAAATTATTCAACCAGGTAAAAACCACACAGTATTCTGTCAGGCCATCATTTCCAGCTGAAGATACCTGAGAAGACTGAGTCTTTTAAAACCAAAATAATAATAATAATAACAACCTTTTTACACCTCTCCCCCAAAATTACATTATAAATCCATTTACTCTTCAGTAAAACTGAAGAGGCTGTGGTTTCAGGACATACTGCCTACGGTGGCAATTTCAAGTTAAGGATTTCACACTTTCCCCTATTCTCGGGTCATTTAAGCCCAAGTCAATTCTGCTCACAGTATGTCTCCAGAAAGTTCTGCTGGCTTGTTGTGGTGTACAGTAGCAGTAGACTGTGCAAGAGGGCAAGGCTTCACTAAGCCAGCACTGTCCTCCAAGATAGCATATGGCAGTCAAAGAACATTCAGGTGCTAAAAGTGCTTCACAGAAAAGAAGAAATCAAAGAAAAAGTTCAGAAAGGCATGAGGAGCCCACCAGCAAGGTGAAGAGATGAGCTCAACAATAAGAAGCTCCCTCCTTGAAGCATCCATGGGAAGAGGTTTTAGGAGGAGGAAGAGTAGCTCACCGTGACTAAAAGAGACTTCTGTTTTGACAGGGCATTGGTGGAGAAGAGCATTGCACCTCCAAGGAAGCTTTGAAGACCTGCATTTCATAGAGCTCCAGCTCTCCCAATGCTGGAATAACAAGCACAGACTCCCCAAAGCACTTAGATGTGTGCATAGAGCTATTCTTAATTTAAGGATACACTTGCTTTAAGCTTCTGTGTTTAGTTTATAGGCTTTGTTTAGTAGAGATCACTTTAATGAACCTTCAGCAGGCATTACACTGGTCTTCCTGAACAGCAGCAGTCTCCTGAGTCAGGGATACTTATGACTTCCACTAATAGATTACAAAGAAGGGTTTTGAGAACTGCACACCTGGCTTAAACTGCTTGTCTTCTGGTGAGAACACCTTGGCTGTGCAACAGGTATAACAAAACCCAGAAGTGGAAGGGACTGCTGGACTAAACACAGAATGAAACCTTCCAGCAGCTGAGTTTTTTGACTGAGCAAGATGGTATTAAAGAGAACAGAGGAAGCATTGAAGTGGACACTGAAATCTGGAGAGATAAAAAGGGCTGGATAGTACTACAGTTCTGCAACAACACAGTTTACGTAGTTTCTTTACAAAAATTTCTATGTTGTCCAACTCTAAGTATTTCTTATTTGTTACTTAATCCTCCTAACAACTCAGTGAAGAAGGTACAAATCAGTTTCATTTTGCATACACAAAACTAAGGCATAAATCATACTCAGTGATTTATTCACATTCATACAATGCTTTCGAAGAGGCAAACCCAAACAGCTCACTCATGTCCCATTGTTAGCTCTAATTTTAAAAATAACATAGCAGCCAGAAGTCTCTTGATCTTTCACATCCATGTGTCATGTTCAGACCCTTCTCCTTATCTTTCACCTCAGATGACAACTCTCTGGATTACCCACATGACTGGGAGATTGGTGATGAGCCAACAGATCACCAGGCCACTTCCCACAAAGCCTAACATGGAAGAAACGCAGGCAAACGGCTTCCTGGCAGATTTAGGAAAGGGAATTTCAGCTTACCTTTTCCTGTGGGACCCTGCTGAGGTGGCACCAACAGTGTGGATGAAGGAGATGGACTGCACAGCTGGAAGGAGCTGCATAAACCCCACCAGGGCCACGTTCCTGCAGTCACAGGAGCACTGTGAAGAAGCTGAAATTAATGCAAAAACATGCTCCTGATAAGGGCACGGTGTCAGAATGAGCCACATCAGTGCCATGTGGCTGAGGAAAGCCAGACCTCGTGGTAAAACAGGCTGGGCAGCACAGCAGTGGCTGCTGAGGAGGAGGGACAAGCACACAAAGCCAGGGCATGGGCTTTCAGGCTGCCAGTAATCAGTTACTGAAACCACAGGAGTGTCTAAAGGCTGTTAGAAGACACCAGTTGTTCTCTGAAGTTAGTCATTTAGAGTACAAATAACGACTTTTTGGCCCAGCATGGGCTCAATCCATGTTTTGGACTGAGACTACAACCACAGGAACTGGAATTCACTGTATTTCCGTCAGCATTTTAAAAACAAAAGCCAACAACCTGTCCTTGATTTCAAAAGATACAGCCTGAAGAAGAAACAGCGTCAAGTTTGCACTCAGCTCAGCGGACTGCACAATCAGGATGTGCCAGAAATCTGGGATTTGATGTTGCTGTCAAACTCCTGCCATAATCAAACTTCCAAACAGTCGTTTAAAGAAAAACAAAATGCTGTTTCAAATTCACCAGCTGAAGGTGAAACAGTAAACTGATAGTTAAAATGACCATTTCTTCTTTCAGTTGATCTTCTAAAAAGTGGAAAACGGAGCACTACCACTGTGATGAGGAAACCCAACAGGACAGTAGTCCTGTCCACAATAACCTGAGCAGCAAAACCCTGACATACCAGGAAGGTTCGGTCATGACAGCCAATGGCCAGACAGTGCCAGGTTGATTTTGAAATTAAAAAATAAAGGAAAAGCATGGATTGTGACTGCCATATACAATATATTGCAATGACACAAGCCTTTGGATAGACAGACGGGAACAGAGCTGTAAGTCAGAACTTTTTTCTTCAAAAATTACTGGTAAAAATATCAAAGATATTATCTGGCAATTTTAATTTTTTATCAATTCTGTAGCAGCATTGCTGCTTTAATGGTTTTTCCTTGCAACACTCTATCTTCTACAAACACAAGTAGGAGAGCTCTACAGGTCTTTTTCCTCTAAATAACCAGCACTTCAATGTCTACAGATAGAAGTAGGGCCCATGAGTGGCTGAAAAAGCAGAACCATTTTATCAAGCCATGACACAGCATAACTCCACTTCCTCTTGTTCTGATTCAATATAGTTTATCTGCCTATAGATAACTTGATTTCTCCGAGATGTATCCAACTTATTCAATCTACAGAAGGCACATTGGTTTTATTTCATTCTCTTGCTGTCCATCTCCAAATACAAATGTCAAGTATCCTAATGCAGCAGAAATGGGAGTTTTGGGAATCCTTGAAGCCAGAGAGATACCACCAAGCAGAGCCCTTCCATAGGTTGTGCAGCATTAGGGGGATTTCCCAGCAGTTACTTTTCCATGGCCCTTGGGTTCCAAGTTCCAATTTTCAAACCATTTACCAATTGAGATCAGGAGCCCAGAACAGCACAGAACCTTTTACAAAACAACATGTCCCCAGCAAGCTTTGCAGGGCAGAAAGTGCTTGAGTTCTCCCTCCATCCTTCCCTCTGAGAGGCCTTGTGCCCAGTTTTACTGTCTCACAGTAGACATGCAGTTCTTGGGTTGTTCTGTAACATCTGAGCCTGCCCATTGCAGGCACACATTAACATTTGGTTATTCCACTACTGCTATGCCAAATGTAGAACCCAACTTCCTACCTGGAAGTATTTAAATACTGAAGTTAGCATAACTCCTGCATTCCCAAGCAGTCACTGATTACTCTTCACCTTTTCCTAATTCCTTAGGTATCAATGTTCTTTCAGAATATACATCTGGAAGTCACAGATTCCTCATGTCATCTTTTTGGAAAATAGATGTATCACATAAAGATACAAAAGCCAAAGAGCTTTTCTACAAACTGAAAGTCCTGAACTTTTTTCCACCTCCATTTTTTTCCATTCTCCATATGGGCACCTGGTAAGTTCACAAACAACTTATTTATGGTATCTTTAAAGTCAAGCTCAACAAAAACATTAATAGTCAGACAAAAACAAGGTGAACTGGAGAAGGGTGAATACCATCACTTTACACCAGTCTCAAGGTTTGCAGGCTGAAAAAACCAAAATACACAAACAAAAAAACAATCAAAAAAAAAAAATCAGCTGCACCCAAAGATGGGTTGGAGGTCACACAGGAGATGGGCAAATATTTTCCCTAACTTCATTATTTTCAGTATTGTTTCTTTAACCTAAGCTAGCTTCGGTGAATTAAGTTGCAGAGCAAGGGCTCAAACATCTACCCAGATTGATTCAATTAGCAGTTGACATGCAGTGCTTAGGCTGCTACTAAGTGCTAGACCCAGCTAATCATTCCAAAACAATCCTGAAGGCTGCTCATCCTGCTGCATCCACCCATGGCCACGGAGCTCTGTGCCTGAAATACAGCACATGCTGGTGGGACCCTTTCAAGTGCACTCTGCTCATTACCCAGCCCCTGAGTGCAACAGGGGCATGAAAACAGCTCCAGCTGAAAGTCAGCTGGTAGCAAGATGGACACAGTGCTTAGTTCTTAAATATGCAGAAAGTAAGGTTACAGCACTAGAATAAGCTTATAAATGTGGCCTGAGTTTCCTTTTTTTCTTTCTGAATTTGTACATTTTCTGGACAAAACCCCAAAACAACACTATGGAAGACATATGACATTTTTATAATACTAAGTAAAGAGGTTAATAGCAAAGACTAGAAGGACAAAGATTTATTTAGAGTTCCACAACATACACATCAACTCAGAATCAAACTGAACTTGAACACAGCAATCCTTGCAAAACCCCAAGTGTGTAAATGTTCCTTGTTCTCCTAGAGACGGCTTCAAATGGTTTTTCCAACCCCATTCATTTTCAACCAATAGCACTAATAAATGCATTCAGTACAGAGTTATTGAAAACTGAAGCTATCCCAGTAACAGAGCCAGAAAGGAACTCAAATAATAACCAGAAACTCCCACTTGAAAAAAAATATAAATGCAAAGTAAACTCCCAAGCATCTGAGTTTTACCAGCTGATCTAGGACTGATCCCATGTGCTCATTTTCAAACTTAAAGAAATGACAATCGGTTCTGTGGCAGACAGCACAAAAGAATTCATAAAAGGATAAGACAGTATAGTACTGTATTTTTGAGGCATTTATGCTTTCATTAAAAAGGGTTTGGTTCATAATGGTCTGTTTAATAAAGTTTTTAATTTATAAGAATAAAAATCTATGCAATAACCAAGAGTTTCAGGTTTGGTTATGAATGCATTTTGCTTCAAAAATCTTTTCAAAACATTTGCTGAACAGGCATGTTTAACTTTACTTAGGAAAAAATAACAATTAATATAAACATCTTTAACATCTTTAAGCTGCTTCTCTGGCTGTGTGTTACTATTAACATGAATGGAAACCCATCACATCAGCACTATCCTCCCCCTACCATTCCCTTTCCTAATGACCACTGTGAATGCATACAATTTTTCAGAATTCCTGTTTTATGAACAAAATTTGCTCATAGATGTATCATTGTGAAATACTCCTACCAGGATTAAATACTGCCTTTTAAAACTTAACAGGAGCTTCCAGCACCTCCAAACTTGTGATTTCAGTAATTGCCAGTCTGCAAATTACCTGGAACAATGCAAAGCACAATGGACATTAAATAATTTTCTATTCAAGGCACTTTAACACAAGCTAATATTTAGCAACCAAATCAACACAGTGAACATTTAATTTAATTCATTAAGCTGGAGAAGACTGTGGGCAAAGAGGTTGGAGATGAGTTGTTTTAATGTTTTTACTTCTGAACACACACAAGCTTCCATTGCAACTAAACCCCGCTTAAAAAAAAAGAAAGGAACAAAACAAGAAGGCTCAAGATAAAATGGGTAAATTACAAATTTAAATACTGGTCTGACGCATGTGGCTTTCTTTTTAAAGCAAGTGCTGCCTTCTTAGATATTAATGGTTCTTTGAAAAAATCCACATCAATGCTCATCAAGAGTAAGAGGTGAGTTACTCCAGATCGAACTGCCCCTTCCTTCATAAAAAAGAAGCAAAGCCTCTTGTCTGCTACTGCTGGGTATCAGCCTCTTTGGGAGGAGACTTCTCTCAGAAAGGGCCAAGATTTCCCAAGGCAGCACTTGGGCAGGTGCAGGTCCCTCTCAGGCTGCAGCCTCCTCATGCAGCAACATCCTCACACTGCCAGCACCACTCCTCCTGCAGCTGCTCCCAGTAATCTGCAATGATTCAAGTATTCTTAAGCTGCAAGTCCTTTCTTAAGTGAATATTCTGACTTGACAGGGTCGAAGTGGTTTTATAGGTGCAATAACACCAGCAGATCCAGGGAAATGGTTTGCCTCCAGCCAAAGGAGAGGTGAAAAGCAGCTGTGCAATGGCCCCTCGGTCTATACTGCAGTCAGAAGAGGACGCTGCATTAACCACAGCCTAACCCCAGACATCATAAACATCTCAGCGGGAAGAAACTCCCTCTTTGAGGGTCTGACAGCCTTCCTGCAGGGAGAGCTGGTGCTGTGAATGCCTGCCTGTTCCTGATAACAACAATTCTGTTGAATGTGCACTGGTCCATGGAGTTGCTTCGCAGAAGCAGGAGGGACCAACAGGGACCTGACACGGCTTCAAGTTCAATTATCACTTCAACAACATTTTACTTGAAAATCCATGATCTCAGTACTTTTCCAGTCCCCAAAAGAATTAAGACTCTGCAAGTGCAATGTACAAAAGAATTTCTATCTGCATAAAACCAGAGTGGTGCAAAGGAGAGTCACAGAAGAATTCTTCCTCATCCTTCCTCTTGCACTGATTTCCAGACAATCAGCTGAGCCATTCTTTTTAGATTTTCTGCTGAAGTCTTGCTATGGCTTCCAAGTGATTTCACTTGCTGTGAGCTCTTCCACTAACTTCAGTGGAAGGAGGGCTGTATCCTGAAGATTCTCCAGAGAACTGAAACAAGGGCTTTAGTGAAATAATGCAAGGAAGCATACTCCCTACTACACCTAATTACACTTGACTTCATTCTTAAGCTATGGAGGTCCACAGACGTTCTCAATGACACACAGAAACCTGAAGGGACAATTTGAGTTGAGACAGCTTACCAAGAAAACAAAAAAAACCCAAAAACTACTACAGCAGATAAAACAGTATCTAGTTTATTACATATAGAAAGAGATTTCCAGAATTTACAAACACCTACATTTTCATTCCAGGGAAAGAGTCAATTTGAAAAGTTCACCCTTTTTTTGTTTTCATTTTGTTTTGTGGTTTTCTGTTGGTGGTTTTTTTTTCTTTTTCTTCTTTACAATATATACAATGGAAGACTTTGATTTCCTTTTTCTGATTTTTTTGTTGGTTCCTGTGCAATTGATGAATTCGAGTCGACACTTGTAAATACCATGTACAGTAACGTTTGTCTTCATTGTAGTTAATACAGACTATTATTTTACAAGGAGTACAAAATTATTTTTCTTTTGGAAAGAATTCAACTCAACATCAGGGTTATCTTACAACTGATAGTATCAGTAAATATGACTGTACAATCAAGGCCCAGGGACCAATGACTCATATTATATTATTTTCTGAATTACAATCTTAAAACAAGAATAGTACCCTACTCTATTCTTAGAAGCCTTGTTTTAAGCAGGTTTCCCACTCTGTTTACAACAGAATATAGTATACCTCAGTTCCACATCAAAAAAGATGTGCTGTAGGAAAAGTTACATTTTAATTAAAAAAGTACATGTATAAATCAAAAACTATGTTAAATATTTAATACTCTTCAACCAACATTAAGTTTTGTATGTAATAATTTACAATGATGATTTGTCATACAGATTTTCAGCAGCAAATGAAGTTGTGTAAATGTGCTAGTAAAATACCCATTCTCACCATGACACAGTGGTGGGCACATCAGTTCATGTGGCCAGCTAAGTCCTTATGGTAGAGGATGAAGTAAGAGAGACTCGTTGTCCAGGTGTCACAGTGCTTCTGCTTGGCACAACACAGGATGTGCAGCTCAGTCAACTAACTCCTGAGGTTTGTGTAAAGTAAACAAACTGAACTGGATGCATCGTACCCATTTACAGAGGAAGAGGAGGAGGAGGAGGTGAGGTCCTAGTTGTGATAGCATGAAACATTTATAGTCTTGATACCCATGAGTTTAAAAGAAGGATTTGTTGAGGTTGTGTAGGTCATCGTTCTGAAATTGAAAGAGAAAGAAAATTAGCATCATGGGGATTTTAAAAGCTTTTTTGCAATTATTTCTCTCCTCATACTTCCTTTTTTTTTTCTTTAAAAGAGTTATCATCTAAACTGAAAGTGTTAGTACCTTGAAAAATTATGGCATACATACAGTTGAACTGTACTCCAGCATGTGAATCCCAAAAGTATTTAAAACAGATGTTGGCAATAAAATTCAAAGCAGTCAGAAAACACATTTAAAACTTGCAAAAGATTCACCTAAGCAGAAACAATTTAAGTGCCCATACTGTTTAACTCTGACAAGCTTCTGTGACAAGGGGAAGAAAAGCTCAACAGACCAGCTTGCTGTTGGCATTTTTACCGGCTACAAGAAAGGTTCATTAGATGTCAGGCCCTACAAGAGGGTTTCCTGGCCAGCTGCAAACACCACAGCTTGCATGAGAAGGATGACCAAGGAATGGCGCATTCTGGGCGCAGTGTTACCATTCCCTATTGACACACAAGCTATAAAAAAAATTGTATCCAGAAAATCCTGCTTAAGTCCATAAATTTATCTACGTCCAGCTTCTCTCTGAGAAGGCTGGGTAAGTAACAAGGTCCTGCAACCCTAATAATACAGAGCACAGGTTTTCTGAGGAATGAATGCCAGAAGCTGCCTTTGAGCCTGTCCTACCAGTCCTCATCTCCTGGCTCCAGCCTCCTTGATCTAGAACACAGTGCAACTGTCTCTGTCAGTAAGTCCTCTCAACTCTGCTTTTCAGCGAGGCAGGTTATCACTCCCAGAGCTCTGATCACAGACTGAGCCCAGCCCCGCTCGCTGCCGATCGGGCCCGTGTCCTGCCGGCAGTGCCGCGGCAGATCCTCCGGCCCCAGCGAGGAGCAGTGTCCCTGCTGGGGAACGTGGGGCTGAGGTGGCACACTGGGGCACCAGGGCTCTCTCCCCTGCTCCCACAGCCATGGCTGGCCACACAGACAGCACCCTCCTCCTGTCGCTGCCACCATCCACCACCCTCAGCCCCGGCCTCCTCTCCGCACCAGTCACACACAGCAGACCCGCTGGGGACTGGACAGAACACCAGTGAAATGAATATCATTTTTGTTCTAACTGGGGTTAGAGGACTACCACCATTTACATTTCAGGAGCTTCGCCTCACATCTGCTGAAGCAAGACTTAGATTTTTACATAAAAGTGTGTCTATTTCTATATTTGATATTAACTATGCCCCTGAAAGGATAGTAAACACTGCATTTTCCTCAGCAAATAAAGGCTTCCCATAGACATGTTGAAGTAAAAAAACTGAAAAGACCTCCTGTCCTATATTCTCTAATTGCACAAGAAACAGAATTTACTTTGTGTGGTCCTTCAAGTGAAAGGAAAGCCTATCCCTGCAAATGATGTGTGGTATGCTGTGAAAACTCCCTGGAGAATTATCTCACAGATCTCTTATTTACTTTCAACTTTCTTCTGCACTCACATTGCGATCTACTGGAATGTTCCTACCCAAATATCTCTATACAGCTTCACACAGCTTTACAGCTTCCAACTACATTTGACCTAAAATTAGCCAGTAATACCATACTTTATTAATAAAGACAAGCAACAAAGGAAAAATGGCTTCATTTAAACAGAGGAGCGTGATTTGCATGCTGCATATCCAAGGTGGGTGTTCCACACCCAGCTCCCATCCAGCAGGGCCAGAGGAACAGCTGGGTGCCCACCAGCAGGGACCCACAGTCCAACCTGCCCTGCACTGACAGGGCAAGTGGAAGGAGAGCAAGTAACAGCTTTTCTACATCGTTAGACTTTATTCTAAGAGATTTTAAGTACATAAATAATACATAATTTGCAGTATCAGGGCCAAGTACTACACCTCTTCACTAGCATTCAGGTCATCTAAACTCAAATACATCATGTACTGAACAAAATGGCCTGTCCTATCCAATTCCTCACCAATTCCACCAATATGCCCAAGAAGTTGTCACAACTGCCACTATCAGGCATTTATTCTTGGATTCCTAAGTGAGAAGAGCAAAGGAAGAAAGAGAATAACAAGTCTATTGGAAAAACTAAACACTTTCTAGAGGAATTCACTAAGAAAATAATATTGAAGAAACCCACAGTTACAGAAACCCAAGCACTCATATACTGAAGTCCTGTACATGTGTAAAAAGAGTGAAAAAACACAGCAGGCTGACATATCTGAGAGTTTGAGACAGAAAGAAGAGCCAGAATCATGTAGGACATGACCTGGTGCAGGCTGCACTTCATACAAATGTCAGCTGCAGGTATGACAGGGCACAGGGCACGGAGCAGCTTCAAGCTTGTACTTACACACCAGGATCTTCAGCAGTGCAACACGGAAATCTGTCTGTCACCCTTTCCTAAAAATGATTCGGTAGCTTTTGTTTTCTTCTAATTTTGTGAAGTTAAAATCCACCGATATGCTTTGCTATGGACCACTTGAAATTAATTACTGATTGCAATTATTTGTTTTCATACCCAATTCCTCTGACCAATCTCTTTCCATAAAACACGAATTATGTAACTGGGAATGACAACCCTTGCTGCTATTACAGTACAGCAGTGCCTGTTCTGTCTGCATGAACAAAGATGTATAGAAAACAGCCATTCCGAGAGCAAGGCTGCTCCTCCAAGGTCACTGGAAATACACTCAGCCCATAAGGTTGAGTATATCCAGGGAATACTTATTTGCACCTAATGCATAGTCAAAAGCCTCATCCTCAGTTTCAGCATACAAATGCTCTTTGCTGGACTTAAAAAGAGTATTTCTTAAATTTCTGACAAAACAATCTGAATCTCCTCTCTCCCCAGTGAACTATTACAGTACGTTTCGAAGCGGAAGAACCTTATTTGGAAATGAAGTAATGGGTTGGATACCTACAGCCATCAGCATTTCCTTAACAACACACAAAACAGTGCAGAAGACAAGGGTTTTAATAGAGAGTGTGAGGTCGGCAGCAAGCTGAGGTAAGGATCATTAAAACTACTGACATCACTGCTGGCAACCAGAGAAAAGGGAAAACCTGTGTTTAATCTATTTCCTATTCACCACAAGTTTCAGCTGGAATCCCCAATAATGCAGTTTGTGGTTGACTTTATGGAAAAAATTAGTGATGCAAGAAAAATGTACTGAAACAAACGAGCATCTTTAAAAGTTACTACAAGGTACCTTTGACAAGTAGTCTCTGCTCAACATCTGTTACAACACACATGCAGATAACACTGACGCACGTTCCAGCTGGCAAAGCTTCCTTCTCAAATCTCCTAGTCCAGGATGGATACAGCACAGCTAGCTGCAGTTCCTATTACAGCTGAAATCCCATTCTTAAATCCAGTAACTAAAAATAAGTTGGTATTTCATTTTATTTCCATTATTGGGGAGCTGGAGAAGAGAACCTAAAATCTGAACTAAGAGCAGAGTGTCTAGACAATTTAATATATCTTTCCTGAAGTTAACAGAATTTTCACACATAACATAGATGTGTTGTTAAAATACACTTAGAGTGTAATCCTTACTCCTTTCTTTCAACCCAGTCTCTTTGAAAGTAACCAAGGAAGAAAAATCAAAAGTGAAAACTCAAGCAATGTTCAAGCAAAACACTGTCCAGTAGCCAATTAAACTTTCTTTTGCTATTAAGAGGCAATAACGTGTCTTGTCCCTAAAATACCAATGGGAATGCCCTTCCAAAGGGTCATTTAATTCCAAAACAAGTCAAATAGCATCAAGCTGCTGTTGAAGTTCCATGATAATTTCATCAAATAAATGGCAACTACTTTGTCACTGATTAACACACCAGGGCAAAACGTGGCTCCCAAACATCAGACTTGCTCAGTACACTGTGACACCCTTCCAGTGTCAGCTGGCATCTGTTTAGGAAGCAATTCTACAGGTGACAGAGCCAGGTCAATGAAAAGATTATTACTGACTGAAAAAAACCACATTTTTTTTCCAAATCTACTGAAGGAGGATCATTTTGCAACTCTGCCATCGACCCTGCTAATCCAAACGTTCTCCAGAACTGCACCTATCCCATCAGCACCTCATTTGAAGCCATGAACAACAAGGACTGGTTGAAGACTCCCTGTCATAGTTACTAGTTGTAAAAAAAAGGTTTTAGAAGTTAATGCATTTGCTGTTTATTTTAGGATCATATAGAGTATCTTATTCTGTGCAGATTAAACAATGATTTACCACATAATGAACAGATCTACCTCGTAAAAAAACAAAAAGCTCAGGAACAAAAGTTCAAAACAAAATGAGAGCCATTATGAACATTCTCTGGAGGACTCCTGCAGAATTCCACCAGTCGAGGTCTTCCTGCAGCCTGGGCACCCTTTGCCCGGGCAGGTATAACCGAGTGTCTTTAGAAACTCCGACACAAAGTAAACAAATTAAGAAGTCCTGAAAAACTCATTTACAGCTCTTGTCTTGGTGACATCTGCATGAGTCATCACCTAATTATAATGAAACGGTGCGCACCTACCTAAAAGCTGAATCCATCCCCGTTTCGTGAGCACCACACTGATGAGCAGAAGCGGCGCCTGTTTACATTTTTCTTGGCATTACTAATGTGCGCACAGATACAGGAAGTATCTCGTTCGGCTAAATTAAAAACATCAACCAAAATTTAAGCTAGCTCAAATAACTTCTTTTCAAAGAGATGCAAATAAGCTGTTTCCCCACTCACACGGACGCTGAAAGAGCAAAGGAATGCAGGAGAGAACAATGGCTGCTCCAGTGTGTTAACTGCAGCCTCAATCTAACAAAAGGAATTCCAAATAGAACCAAACAAAGTAATTACCACATTGCTATTTAACTAGACAGGCTGTAATCTACATTTAATAGGGAAGCTTTCCTTCCTTGTACCCCAAAGTGCCTATTTCAGCCTTCCTGCGAATGTCCTAAATGGGGAATTACTGACGATTTGGTTTCACCAAGTCCCTTCCTATCAGGCAGGGGAACTGAATTTGGTGTT